TTCCTCAAGTAGACCAGGCTGGCCTTTAACTCTGTAGCCCAGGATAACCTTGAACTCCTGATCCCATTGCCTCCACCAAGAGTCGGTCTCCTTTAAAGTAACAGCAGTTACTGCTCTCAGCCAATAAGTGTATCTTGTAGAGAAACAGGAACAACCCTGCAGGAAAGGAATAGCCCTGAACCCAGCCAGCCCGAGTGGCCTCGGACTGTGATGACCCCAGTGTTCTGCCATACACACCTTGTTGAACTTCCCTTGAAGAGGTACTCTTTCCATCCTTCTCCTGAATTGCAAACCCCAAACTCACCTGAGAGATAACTGTCAACTCCTAGAGAAGACAGAGCAGATTGCTTCCAGGGTGCCCAGTCTGGCTCCTGGGAGTTGGGAGAATAGGGGAGTGGAGAAGCACCCCAAGGGAAGGCTGGCTGCCTGCTGAGGAGAGGGGCCAAGGACATTGTGTAGAGCCTTGCTGTTCTCTGTCCACATCTGGGAACAAGGGTCCTGGCAGCAGGCTTTGGTCCTGGCAGCAGGCCTCCCTTCCACCATGCTCTTCTTCTTGGCAAAGTCGCAGGCTTTCAATGTCATGTGACCAAATCTTTGCACAGTTGACTCAGGGAAGAGAGAGTGAAGGAGAGGCTGAGCAGAGAGCAGCCACTCAGCAACCATATTTGAAGCTAAATAATTCTCCTGGGCATGACTAAAAACTGTCACACAGTGTGACTCCATGGGACAGTGCTTATCCAATTTGCAAGAAGCTCTGGGTCCACAGGTAGCACAAGGAAGAAAGGCCAACATCAGACTATTCTTTCTCTGATGTGTCCTCAAGGAACACAATAAACCACTTTTCCCCAGCCCTGAACCAACCACACCCACAGCATCCTCTGTCTTCCACACATATGCTTCTCATTGGTTGGTTGGTTGGTTGGTTGGTTGGTTGGTTGGTTGGTTGGTTGGTTGGTTGGTTGGATGGTTGGTTAGTCTATTGGTCAGTTGTTCAGTCAGTTGGTTGTATCAAGGTAAAAATTCAGCTTTCACCTCAAAGGGAATAGGAGATCATTTATTCTGGAGCCAAATTTGAGTGACTGTGACCCAGCAACACATTTAGGTCTCTGCAAACACAATGTTCCAACATTAGGGCAGTTTCATGGAGTTGTTTGCTTTATTTTTTAAGAGTTATTTATGTATTTTATGTATATGAGTACTCTGTATGTATACCTGCATGCCAGAAGAGGGCATTGAATCCCATTATAAGATGGTTGTGAGCTACCATGTGAATGCTGGGAATGGAACTCGGTCCTCTGGAAGAGCAGCCAGTGCTCTTAACTACCAAATCCTCTCTCCAGCCACACATGGAGTTTTTATAGTAACAGAACATAGAAAGCTATAAATCAAGGTATTTTTAAAATACATTGGCAGGGGGAAGGAGAGATGTTTCCTCGTTTATGAACACTGGCTGCTCTTCCAGAAGAAGCAGGTTAAATTACCAGCATCTACAGGCAGCTCACAGTTGTCTGTAACTTCAGTTGCAGGAGACTTGATACCTTCACATAGATATACATGAAAGCAAAACATCAGTGCACATGAAATTAAAACAAATAAAATTAAAATATGCTGGTGGAAATATCAAATTCCCAAAGGATGAAGGTATCTTGTCCATAAGCTTCACATGTTAGCTAACAGCGTCCTTAGGCTTCCACTAGTAGAGGATATGTTGTTTGTTTGTTTGTTTGTTTGTTTGTTTGTTTTTTGAGACAGGGTTTCTCTGTGTAGCTTTGGAGCCTGTCCTGGAACTTGCTCTGTAGACCAGGCTGACCTCAAACTCACAGAGATCCACCTACCTCTGCCTACTGAGCGCTGGGATTAAATGCAACTGCCACCACTGCCCAGCCAAGAATAGGTTTTCTTAAATTAATATTTTTAAAGGTTTTTATCAGGATGTTAAGTCTGATACAAAGGTGGACAAGGAATGACTCCTTGGGGGCTAAAGATGTCTAGAAAATTGAAAGTAGGCTACTAGATAAGCAGCACTCCAAAATCTTCCATAATCATTGAATTTTCATCAGTTGCTCGGCCTGTGCAAATAATCTCTTCCCTGGGGTTCTCGCTCGCAGTTGACTGGTTGGTCTGTGAGTGTAACCATGTATGCGTATGTACATGTGAGTGCAGATAGATGAAGGAGCCAGAAGAGGGCACCAGGTTCCCATAGCAGTGGTTTTCAACCTGTGGGTCAGACCCCTTTGAAGGTCTCATGTCAGATATTTACATTACAATTCATAACAGTAGCAAAATTATAGGTATAAGGTAGTGGTGAAATAATTCTATTTGTGGTGGGGGTCACCACAACATGGGGAACTGTAGCAAATGGCGGCCCAGCATTAGGAAGGCTGAGAACCACTGCCCTAGGGCTAGAGTTACAAGTGATTGTGAGCTGCCTGAAGTAGGTGCTGGAGACTGAGCCTAGGTCCTCTTGGCAGAGCAGGGCTGGGGCTTAGCCAGTGAATTTTTTCTCCAGGTTGGAATTTTTGAGGCAGGGTCTTGTACAGCCCAGCTTGGCCTCTAACTCGCCATCCTTCTGCCTCTACCTCCTAATTGCTGAGCTTAATTAACCACACACAGCCTAGGTGTTTCTCTGAACTGCCTGGAATGACAACCCTCCCCTATACCAAAACACAAAACAAGTGTGCATACACTATCACAATTCCTGAAAGAACAATGAGCATTTTAACCAAGTAAGTTGTATACAAGATGTTAGTGCATACATTAACACCACCACCACCACCCAGAAACAATCAATGGCTCTGGAGTTGATTACAGCTCCTGTCTCTAGTATCAACTCTTGAACGCCATCCTCCTGGTTTTCCATCAATGTGTGTGTTCCTCAGGGGGAATGTTGCCTGCTAAGATCAAACTTCACAGCCCATAACTTTTAAAAATAGACTCTGGTGGGTTGGGGATGTAGCTCAATGGTAGAGTTCTCACCAGCACAAGTACAGAGGGAGGGAAGGGAGGCAGGGAGGGATCAAGCCTCAAGCCTCTCTAACCCTCTTCCATACGCCAGAGTAAAGTCTTCATCCTCAGCTCTTGCCCTGGAGCCTTGATCTCGGCTTCATTGTTCTGAGCTGGTTCTCCCACCGCCTGTGCCATCTCAGTTAACGTGTCCACGTTGTTCCAGGCTCCCTCCCTCGACTGTACTTTATCAGCTAGAGCTCCATAGTGATTTGGCCTTACAGAAGTAAATGATTGTTTACGGCCTTGGGTTTTTTTTTTGGGGGGGGGGGTTGCTTGTTTGTTTTAAAGCAAACAGGAGCCAGAGAAAGCCGCTCAGCTGTTGAGTATTTAACTAAGTTCTGGGTCCCATCCCAGCACTGCAAAACTAAGACCAACAGCAAAGGACCGGTCTTAAATAGTCAAACGAAAAAGCCCTGTGTAATACTGAGAGCAGAGAGGCATTCAGTCTATCGTTTCCCAAGGGTACCAGTGAAAAAGCAGCATTCATTTAGATGTAGAAGTTTTGATGAATTTTAAACTTGTGGCCGTATGTTATAGACATCTAAGATGGTTTAGAAACACAGGTTTGTAATCAAGCTACTTGGGAGGCTGAAGGCAGAAGTTCAAAAGTTCAAGGCTGAGGCTGGAGGGTTAAAGTTCAAGGCCAATCTAGGGTACAGAATGGATTGAAGGCTAGCCCAGGCAACTTAGTGAGACCTTGTCTCAAAAATCAGACGAGTTGGTAATGTGGCTAAATATATTTGCTTGTCACATGGATAACTCCAGACTCAGTCCCCAGCATCTCGAAAGAGCCAGGTATGGGAAGGGTGAGGCTCTTGCCTTTTTAGAAAGAAAATGAAAAGGAAACATACAAATAACAAGCGAACAGTAAATACTCTATTGTTTGATCCTCGGGTGATCCGTAAGAACTCTGTTCTATATAATGTTGATTAGCAAACTCTAGCCGTGGCCAAATCCTGGTTTAGTGTGGTCTGCAAGCTAAGGATGTTTTTGTTTAAAAAGTCAAAAGCAGAATAGTATTTCATGGCATGTGAAAATTATAGTAATCCCAAATTTCAGTGTGTATACATAACATTTTGCTGGAGGACAGCCACATGCCTTTATTTACAGTTTCATAGCTCCTTGTGCAAGATGACAAGTGTCAAGTGGTTGTAACAGAAACTGTATGGCTCTCAAAGCCTAGAATATTCCCTGTCTGGCCTTTTACCAGGAACATTCAATAATTCTGCTCCCAAGCACTGCTTTTCAGCCCTTAATATCTTTAGGGTAAGATTCACAATGAATCTGGCTTTCTAGAAACAGAAGTCTTAAACCAGAGGGCCTATTTCACAGAGGGAGGGGGCTTAGTTTTCTCTCACATTAAAGAAGTATGGCGTGCTCATCTCTGCAGCCTGCACTTCCTGCCTACCCTAGTATTGTTATCTTCCTTCTCAGGTCTTTGATGAGATTAAAGATTAGACTGTCACAATTCTTGTTCTCTCTTCCTAGATAGAAATATTAGGTACAAGATTTAAACTTTCCAGCTTAGGGCAATTCTATAGTAATCTCTGTTGTGCCTTCGTCCTAGGACTGGATAGGAGCTCTTCCCATTTTACTCTTGTCACTTCACTGCAATAGAGTTTAAATGTGTATATTCTTCCTTTTCCTAGGGCACACTTGATATTTACTGTCTTTGTATATAGTTTTGTATCAAGCCTAAATATTTCCTTTAGACCAAAAGGGGAATTGTAGTGAGATATCCACCCCACCAGCAACTGTTGCACTGACCACGGGGCCTGAACACGGGTGCAGACGTGGCCTGTGGGAAGCTAAGTCTGGGGTCCTGGCCCCAGCTCTCTCTTGCTCCCGATTGGGTCACAGAGGGCAGCCGGTGTGGATCCTCGGAACAGGGACTTTCAGAGGTCATCTACATCGCGTGTAAGTGATTTCTCCCCAAATAAAATGATATTAATCTATATTTGAGCCAGTCCCGTGAATCTTGTGCCGGGCACCAGTTATCTACTTCACATATATACTAAAATTGGAACAATACAAAGTAAGTTAGCATGGGCCCTGCTCAAGGATGACAGGCAAAAGAAGTGTGGCTGTGGATGGTGACCCATGCCTTTGGTCCCAGCACTTGGGAGGCAGAGTCACAAAGATCTCTTGAGTTTGAACCGAGTTTGGTCTACCTAAGGAGTTCCAGGACAGCAAAAGCTACACGGTGAAATCTGTAAAAGAAGGAAGGGAGGGAGGAAGAGAGGGGAGGAGGAAGGGGGGAGAAAGAGAGGGGAGGGGGAAGGGGGGAGGGAGAGAGGGGGGAGAAGTGTGGATGAGCAGGGGAGCTGGCCCCCTTGGGGAAGTTGTTGCCATCTTTCCAGCTTCCCAATCTACTTTTTTGTCTATTGTTGACCATCAGAACATAGTTGTTCAAATCCTGCAGCTATTTGGTTTCTTACCCTAAATTCATCTGGAACCTTCCTGGAAGCTCCTGCAGAATCAATGCAGACATGAAAGTCAAAGGAACCAGATAGGAACCTCTTAATTCAGCGGTTAGTGTTTCTTAAGGGAGGGAAAGTAAAGGCCAGAGTAATGGGAACACTCACTGCCCAGGTCTCACACCAGCTGGATAGTACAGCAGAGTAAAGGTTCTCATCAGAAGTACCACTATAGCGTGGTCAATAAGAATCTGGGAAACAATCGGCCAATGGATGTTTATTTGGAGAGAAATCAATTACACCAGAAACAGATGACTGCTGCAGGTTCCTGCCCCAAGGAAGTAAGAGAGCGAGCTGGGGTCTGGGACCCCAGACCTAGCCCCCCCCCTCATGCCCCGACCTGTCCCCACACCCCAATGGACATGGTCAGTGCAACAGGTGCGGGCAAGGTGGACATCTCACTACACACTACCATATGTCAGCCTGGGAGACACTGAGCACAGAGTAATTGCTCTCTGTTCCTTTGTCAGTTGAGACATACTGGACATGGGTGGAGGCTCAGTCCAGGTACAGAAGCTAGGACCCCGAAGCTGGCTCTTCTAAGGGTTTCATGTCTTCCTTGGAGTTTCTTACTCTAATACTAGTGACTGGGACATCTACAGATCGAATCACCCCTTGTCCTACAGGAGTTTTAAAGGAGTAGAAACATTTTGGGAGCTGCTGTTTAGAGGGAAGGGGAAATCTTTCTATGCCCTTTTTTTTTTTTTACATTGTTCTAATTCCTTCCTGAGGCCAGAACAGGGACTGAAGGAGGCTGTCCATCCTGTCGTCTCTTCATTCCACAGTTTCTTGTGACCTGATCCCTCAGCTGTCCCCAGGTCTTTCTACCCTCCATTTTGTGGAATGCAAAAAGATGGCAAACAAGATGGACGACCACAGGCTCTTTTATCTGGATCTCCTTTGTCCTTTTAAAGACAGGATGCATAGTTTCTGTTCCGCTGCTGTGATAAAACACTATGGGCAAAAGCAACTTACAGGAGAAAGAGTTTTCATTCTGGGTCCAGAGGGATGAAAGAGTCCATCCTGTGGATAGGCATGGCAGTGAGTGGCAGGCATGGGGGCCAGAGCAGTTAGCACAGTCACACCCTCAAGCATGAAGCAGAGAGCAAATCGGAAGTACGGCAAGGCTGCAAACACTCAAAGCCTGGCTCCAGTGACACACACACCTCCTCCATCAAGGTTCCACCTCCCAAAGGTCCCACAACCTCCCCAGTATTGCCATCGGGACCAAGTGTTCAGATATCTGGGCCTGTGGGGGACATTTCTCAAGGCACCTCATGGCCTGAAACTCATTGAAGAAACCTAGCCGCCTCCGCCTCCCAAGTGCCGTCCTTGGCAGCGTACACCACAGCATCGGGGGCTCCTCAGTCACTCTTTGAAGGGGAAGGGCATTAACTCCATCACACAGAGAGGCCATTTCTCCCTGAGAGGGTGGGATTTTTGTCACTAACATAAAGTACCAAAACCTGGCATAACTAGTCTTCTGGACCAGCATAGCCCCCATTCTACACCAGAATCTCTCCATCCCCACCGCCTCCAGAGAAGTGGTGCTAACTCTTATTATTCACTTTTAGCCCCCAGAGTCGAGTGCCAGAGTTACCATTAGGAACCTAAAGAATGTGCAAGGCCAGCATTTGGTCCCCAGGGGAGGGGAAAAAAGGAACTAAATAAACATTGACAAGGCTGATTGGAACTCTTGAACTTCCTCTGAACTCACGTTAGCATTCACTTAAGGCTGAGAGAGAAGTAAAACAGAACCATTTCCAGAAATCACAACCAAAGACTCATAGTGTGGGGACGAGAGTATGACAGACTTTCTGGAAAAGCTGATTGTACATTCTGAGGGACAGCCAAATCGTGCATCGAAAACTGGCGTGTGGTAAGGGACGCAAAGGTCACAGACCCAAGAACAGGTGTTACACTGCAGTGTCTACAATCCCTTTAGGAGAAAAAGGACACGACAGAGAAAGAAATGGGAAAATTTCAATTCATTTCATGTAGGTTAGGACTGGATAGATAGAATTTATATATAAAAAAAAAAAAATTCAAAGAAACAGGCCAAACCAACAGGGTCTCGTGTAGCCTAGGTTGGCTTTGAATAGGCTGCGTGTAACTCAGGATAACCTCATGAGTGCTACGATTGCAAATGTGTGCCATCATGCCTTGCTGGGAGAGAAAAATTTCATCTTGCTTACAGCAAATAGTGTCGCCATTTATAGTAGAATGAAACAAACACCAGGCAATTTGAATATTCAAATTTAGCTTGGGTCCAGGAGTCAGCAGAACTAGGAGTTAGTTTTGTTCCTGGGTCAGGCTCCTGGGACTGGCCAATCCTGCTCCTGACGCCATTCTTCCTAATTCCTAGGGACCAGTCATACATGGAGAACAGTGTGTATGTATGTGTGTGTGTGTGTGTGTGTGTGTGTAGGGGGGAAGGCAGCAAATAGAGGCACAGGCCTAAACTGAACATTTTGTGGGCAAGGGGCACAGACTAGGTTTGCTAACAATTCATCTGTGTGTCAAAAGAGGACACTAGGTTGGGGTATATCACTCTCTGTTAGCATGCGTGGGGCCCTGGGTTCAAACCCAGCCCTGCAACAAAACAAATAAATACAGGGACCCAAAAGCCTCCAAAATTCCAAAACAGCCTGCCCTCCACCCTTTATCTCATTGAGGGAGGAATGCTTTCAGTGTTCTGCAAAGCAGACAATTGGACTCTTCTGGGGATGAGCAGAACAGAAGCATGAAGCAGACCACAGCTGTGGGCAGCACTGACAGCTGCTGGGCCACGAGCAGCGTCTGCGTCCCAGGATGACCTTCCCATGGAGGACAGAGAGAAGGCTTGTCAAGGAGAGTGATCACAAGGGGAGGAGGTGGGGCGGGAGGGACACTGTGCTGTGGAAGGCTGAGGCAGGGGGCAGATGGTGAGGAAGAGGGGCTGTGGGAAGCAGGCCAGTCCATCAAGCAGGGCTGTAGGGGTTTTGTATTTCGTATTTATTTATTTATTTATTTATGGGTTTTCAAGACAGGGTTTCTTTGTAGCTTTGGAAACTGTCCTGAAACTCACTTTGTAGACCAGGTTAGCCTTGAACTCACAGAGATCTGCCTGCCTCTGCCTCCCGAGAGTGCTGGGACTAAAGGCATGTGTCACCATTGCCCAGCAGTGCCTTTCCTTTTCAATATGTATACATATATGCATGGAATATTAAATACATACATATTTTTTTTGTTTGTTTTGTTTTAAGATGAAGACCTATGTTGTCCAGGCTGGCCTTGAACTCCTCATTTCAAAGCAATCCTTTTGCCTCAGCTTCCAGAATAGCTGGGACTAACTGCACATGCCACAGTGCTAGGCAATATTTTGTTCCTGATCATGAGAACAAAGGAAGCATCTTTAATGTGAGAAAAACAGAATGGACCAACTGTGTTGGTGAGGACATTGAGAAATGGGAAGCAGGAGAGGGGCCAGTGCTCAAGCTCTGACCACTTCCTCCTCTGCACAGGCTTCAGGATTCACATCAACCACCTTGTCTAGATAATCCCTCCAAGGTGTGCCCAGAGTCTTCGGTCCAAGTCTTATCAAGCTAAGGCTAATGGCCTGGTAGCTCAAGGCAGCTTCTGGAGAGTGAGGGGAAAGAGACAGGACAGGGATGGTGCAATGGACAGAAGCCTGCAGATCTGGGTGGAAAGGCATGTAGAAACCAGACTTCTACATCCAAGGCTAGCCAAAGTTCATGGTGCTGATGGAAAGAAGGCCACAGGAGAGGGCCTTTAGAATTGACAAGTCACTGGACAGTGGTGGCACACGCCTTTAACCCCAGCACTCAGGAGGCAGTGGCAGTTGTTGGGTGAGTTCGAGTCCAGCCCAGTTCACAGAGGGAGTTCCAGGACAGCCAGGATTGTTACACAGAGAAACCCCATCTCAAAATACCTCAGCAACAGAAAGAATGCCGAGTCAAACTGCAGGAGAGAGGCAACCTCAAAAGCACAGCCGGAATAGTCTGGGAGGGTTGGTCAACAAGATCTCAATCTGATGGAATTTCTTAAGGTCTTTCGTCTGCGTCCTTCTGCTTTGTAATTGTCTTAGGGGTCTGGGGGTGTAGGGTGGAGGTAAAGCACGTGCATTGTGTGGGGTTCCATCCCCAGCACCAAACACAGACCCAGAAGAACATGACCAATCCCAGTTTGATTTGATTTGATTCTGAGACAGGGCCTCACTTTGTAGCCTTGGCTGGCCTGGAACTTACTGTGTAGACCAGGCCAGCCTCCTAGTTACTGATATCTTCCTGCTCCTGCCTCTTGTGCTTGAATTCAAGGCATGTGACTCCATATCTGACTCAATTAAGGTTTCAGACAATTAAGTCTTCCCAAGAGGCAATTTTGCCACTACTCTTCCTGATCTTTGCTCTAGGTGTCTGTCCTCACAATAACCCAAGTTCTAGTAGGGAATGAGCCTCATCCCCCATCCCCTGTGTGTGTGTGAGTGTGAGTGTGTGTGTGTGTGTGTGTGTATCACATCCATACCAGAAACACTGTTTATTACTACAGAAAAGTCATACCCAGGTCTACAAACGCAGGCACAGGATGCCTCCTCTTCACAAGTACCACAATGTGTCATTCC